TTCCAGACCTCCCTCTCCCCGGCGATGCTTTCCAGCTCTTCCTGGGAGATCCCGAGGCGTTTCCAGACCAGCCGAGGGATATAATCCCTCCAGCAGGTTCTGGGTCTGCCCCGGGGTCTCCTCCCAGGTGGACGTGTTTGGAAGACCTCCTGAGGAAGCCTCCCCGGAGGCATCTGAATCAGATATCCAAACCACCTCAACTGGCTTCGAAGGAGCAGCGGATCTACTCCGAGCTCCCTCCAGATGTCCGAGCTCCTCACCCTATCTCTGAGGCTGAGCCAGGCCATCCAGCAGAGGAAGCTCATTTCAGCCGCTTGTATCCGCGATCTTGTTCTTTCGGTCACGACCCAAAGCTGGTGACCATAGGTGAGGGTTGGGACGTAGATGGACTGGTAAATCGAGAGCTTCACCTTGTGGCTCAGCTCTCTCTTCACCACGATGGTCCGGTACAACGCCCGCATTACCGCTGATGCAACACCGAGCCGCCTGTCCACCTCACGCTCCATTTTCCCATCACTCCTGAACAAGATCCCGAGATACTTAAACTCCCTCGCTTGAGGAGGCAAAATCTAAATTGGCCAAATTCCCAATACAAAACTGGAACCTGCTATAAAATACCTGACAGAACTTTTAATACAGTGACTTTTTAAAGGGATGTTTACATTAATAATGTCTTAATAGTCGATTTGTCATTATGATTTATTTGCTAGTGTACAATAAGCATCACATACACTGTGTTGTGAATCTACAAAAGCTGAGGTGAAGGTGGAGCTTAAACACCATATATCACTACAGCCCTGCTTTATCTCACTACAGAGACCAGACGTGAAAAAGCCTTCATGGTTATATCACTTCATGTTTCTGTCGTAACGTCACCACAGAGCCTCACACGTAACTTACCGACGTCATAGGCAGCAGTCAAGAAGTCGATCATCAGCGTGGGTTTGCTCATGTACGGCAAGATGGAGTCGTGAAGGATCACCAGGATCTTTTTGTACATGCCGCTTGGCAACTAGAACAAATCAGCAAAGCACAGTCTTAATGAAACACCACAAATGTGTCTGGAAATGTGATATTTGTGAAATCTAGATGTTTACCTTATACTTGAGGAAGCCCAGCCACATCCTCTCAAAGATGCGTTTGTGTTCCTGCAGGGAGGTACGACATTTAACGGCTCATTCAGGAAACATCTGAGCTGCGAACAGAAATCTAAAGATCCAATAAACTAGTTCACTTACACTCAGTTTAGCAGCTTTCCAGTCCTCGTGCTTGCCTGGAAAATAAAAAGGTGTTTCAGTTGCTAAGAAAAAAAAATCCCAAACTGGCTTTTCTCTCAGACGGCGACACTTCTGCAAGATCCTACAAAACCAGCAACTCACACTGTAGCTATATGACATCCTAAAAAAGAAAAGCTGGTCTCACCTTCTTGTTTGACCATGAAGTTGGTGAGCTCTGACTCCTGACTCGGCATATTGATGTTGGACATGAGCGTGAACACGTTGTTCTGATAAAGTGGATGCACAGCCTGAGAGGAACGAACAACAGTGTCAGCAAAGCAAATACTGTACAACACAGAAAACAGCGTCTATGATATGCTTTCTTACCCCTTTGTTTTTGTCCATGACTTTGCCCACATGATTGCGGATGGAGCTCATGACATAATAGCGCAAATCCTCCATCTCCAGGAACTCCTGGAACCTGGAGATGAGCAGGGAGTTGTCTGTCGTTTGAGACAGAAGTCTGTCCACCACTGCCTGGACACACAAAAAAACAGAGATATCAGAAACGTGTCTGTGCCGATTGATCTTTTCAAAAGTGAAAACACACATTTTTGGGTTGGGAAACTTCTCAAAGCTAGAACCCTACCTGGATCAGTTCCCTTGGGAAGCTGTAATGTTCACTCCAGTCCAAGTCCTCAAGAGGATGCTGTCCTTCTCCTGCAGCGAACTTAATCAGGCAGCACAGGGCGCTCTCCTGGATTCAGACAGTCATTTATTTTTAAAAATGGTCAGTTCATTTCCTTCCAGAGGTTCCCAAGCACTGCATAATAGTGAATTACACTTAAAAAAACAAATATCCAACACCAGAAACAGAACAGCCTCAGCAAACCTAAGCTGGTGTGCCGTGGAAGTGCTCAACACAAAAACTCCTCTCCTGGCTTTAAGCAATAATAATAATAAAGCAGGTTGCAGAGAATCATTTATTTATTAGGTCTAAGTTGAAATAACAGAAGATGTTTACTCAAGCACATCAGCAGACCTCAAGAATATCCGTGTTTACAGCACAGTAGCACCTCCAAAAGTGTTTGAGTGAAATACCAGAGGACCTGATCACACCTGAAGTCCATTTGTGCAACACAAAGAGTGAATAAACCCACGCACAAAACAAAACCTCCTGATCAAGACTCAGAGCCGACTCACCTTGACATCATGCAGTTCGTGGCTGAGGTGCTCCAGCAGCATCTCCACACAGCTGTTGTAACGGTGTCGCATGAACATCCGGTACTTCTCCTCGGCACTGTACTTTCCTGGCAAAACACACCAACAGACTCAAAATAGGATTTACAGCTTCGGTGTGAGTTTAGCAGTGGTGGAAAGCAACCAAGTGCATTTATTCAAACACTACTTGTGCTTTACGTAAGTATTTGCAGCTTTACAGTTTCACAACAACAACATCTCTAATTATTTTTAAGTCAAAGATTTTACATACTGATGTATATAATAGGCTAAGATATAACTCATTGCTAAATTTAAACCAGAAGTTTCCAATCTTTTTGACTTTTCCACAAAGCAGTGTGCAGTCAGAGTCATGTTCCAAATGTCTACAAGTTGTCAACAACTGCATAAAATAGTGCGTTTTCCCTCTTTCTCATGTGGTGTTAATTTATTAAAATGATCCAATATCTTACTATAAATCAAAGATTAGAGAAAAGGTCCAAATATTGACAACAGATTTGTGTATCACAACTTTTTCCCCTCCTCTCCCATGAATCATCCGACAACTTTTATCTACAGTCGTCCTCTGATGTATTCATGCCCTTCCATTAAAGAAAAGGCAAAATTCACAACAGTCACTAAAATAACTAGAAATTGGAAAAAGTAATAATAAATAAAAAATTTGCTAAATTATAATTTTGTGAAATAAGACATTGTTTTTAAATTGTGGTTGAAAAGAATAATTAAAAAAAACAAAAAAAAACAAAAGTGTCCCGGACAAATTCAAGCACTTTGCTGATGAAGTCTGACTGAGAGTTACAGAAAACACCTGATTGGCTCAAAGGGTTGTTCAACTAAATATTAGTTTACGGGTCCCATCATGCTTGTTTTCTTTTATATATAAACATATTTCTGTTGAACCACAATTCAAAAGCAACGTCATGATTTTCATTAAATTTTTATTTATTATTCCTTTTGTCTAATTCAGCTTATTTCAGTGACAGCTGTTTTTTTCCTTCTTTAATGGGAGGCTATGAATACATTTGAGGATGACTGTAGTATCACTGGATAAAAAGCTTAACATAAAGTACTTTGAACTCGCTCTACCTGCAGCAGCTACACCTCAGTATGGATCTATTTCATATATAATATATCAGCCAGAGGGACCAATCCTGAACTTTCATTTGATTTAACTTGCTAACTACATAAGCTGGACATTTGTATGTTAGTAGTAGTATTTTTTTTTTAACTTTTATTTAAGTTAATGCCCTGAATATTTCTTCCACCTCTTTGATTCAGACCCAAGATCAACCACAAAGCAGATAAATCTGGGCTGTTTCATTGTTATCCAGTCTGCTTTATGAACTCTAGGTGCAGCAGTGCTGGTGTGCAGCAGCTTGTTTACATCCACCTGATGTGGTTATATTACTACAGTGTGTTATCATCAGCCTGTACTCACCACTCAGACCCTCCTCCTCTCCGGGAAGGTTTCCCACGAACAGCTCTTTTCTCTCCAACAACGTGCAAAACAATTTGTTGCACGCATTGACAGCGCTGACAACCTCCTTTTCTTTCTCTGACTGCAGACAGACATGGAGAAAACACGTTGAATGAAGCTTTAGTAGCTCAGAGGAGAACACAGCATGTATAGAGGCGACGATGCTAACTGTTAGCCAAACAGCGTGTATTCAGCACAAGCACAATGTGAGTGTTTTGGTGAGAGAATTTTACCTGGAGGATCTCGAAAATGTCGAAAACGTCGTTGGCATTCTTTCTGCTTTCTAGTATACGCTCGACGGTGCTGTTTAAATCGATTTTAGCAGTTTTTACGCTTTGTTCGGTTGTTTTTACTGAACTCACGTTGCGTCTTTTGGCCGGCGCCATGTTTACTGACGGCTGCCGCATTCGCGTCACTTCCAAAGAATACGAAAAAACAGAACTCTTCACTGAAGTCACACATACTACATTGTTTTGTCTAGTTTTAAATTCGTAATCTAAGTATATTGTGTAAATACTGTTGCATAAGAGTGTCTATAAAACATTTAGACATTTTCATTGCATCACATTGTCATGTCTGTAAGGCAATCATAATAGAAAAATGGGAGTTCTAGTTTACTGAGTTTTACTGGGCAGTGAAGGCGACATTAGTCTAAAACTATTGTAACGCCTCCTACTGACTGGAAGGGGAAGTTTTAAGGGTTTTTAAATCTAATTCAAGACTTTAAAAAAAATCAGGAATATAAATAATAAAACAAGATTTTGAAAACACATGGCATTCAAAAATTCTCATTCATTACATTCCTAAATAACTTTCATGATCGTAATCACACAAAAATAGAAAAGCTGCAAAAAGTGAGATTTTCCAAAACATGGACATTTGCTTGTCAAAGCAGCAGCACTGTTCAATCCTCTGATGAGAATCCACATTTTCCTTTATTCTTAAAGGACATCTTACTAGAGTTAAACTAATCTAAATGTAGTTCTCGCTGCAGAAGCATCATCAAACAAACTAAGCAGACATCCACATTTATTTCACTGTCAAATAAATCTTAGGAAACACTGCAACACAGAGCAAAGAGGCTTTTATTGTGTTGTTGTTTGTTCACAACATTTGTAAAAGAGAAACAGGATTTAATCCTACTAAAAAACAGATATTATTATAATGTCAAACTTTAAAAAGAAAAAATAATTCCCAATAAAAGAGAATGTTTTGGTGAGAAAATGTGTCGTCGTTCTTCAGGCACGGTGGCCTAGTCAGAGTCATTTCCATCGTCAGCATTGTCCTGAAAAAAAAAAGGGAGCAGCAGTGAATAAGAATAGCTGACAAAATGAATTTCCAAAGTCCAACATCAGTGCTTCAAATAATTATTGTTCTCTAATCTGAATGACCAAATACCTGTTTTAGATCCTTATTGTCTCGTGTTTCACCAGCTGTGCCTTCAAAGTCATGGATAGGAAGTGTGGACATCCAGCTGACCATGGAGCCTTCCTGACACTCCGTCTCAACAATGGTGGGGTAGATGTGAGCCTCCTTGAAGGCCTTGATGGCCTCTTCCTCGCGGTCCCACTCCAGCCGCTCGTGCAGCCCGTCCCCACCGAAGCGTTTGTTGTACCGGTCGAAGTGAACCCGTTCCAGGACCAGGCCCAGCCCTGGAGCTTTGGGAACATCCACCTTCTCCTGGCCCCAGCTCCGTTCCATCACCTCCTCCTTTGCGTAGCCCTTGACAATCGCGATCACCAGGCCGATCATCTTGCGTATTTGGTGCAGCATAAAGCTCTGGCCTCGCACGGTGATTACTGCGAACTCACAGTTGCTGCAGAGGAAAGGCTCGCCGCAGGACATCTCGGTGATGTAGCGGCGAGCGCTGGGGTCACTGGCAGCCTTCTGGGAGGTGAAGTTGTGGAAGTTATGGGTGCCTTTGTAGAAGGTAAAAAGCCGGTTCACCTGTTGAAGTGTCTCTGGTTCCAGGCGAAAGGCTGCTATATTCGTAGTGTCATAGTCTTTTTGGGAAAAGGCCACAGTTGGAAGCATATAGGAGTATGTGCGAGCATCACAGTTGTTTTTTGAATTGAAACCTTGGGTTACCCGTTTAAGTCCTGCGGGCACAAAAGTAAAAATTAGCTTCAGATTTCTTTTTGTAGTTATAGACAGATTCTGTCTTTTAGCATTTACTATTCAAACATGATGTGCTCGTTACTCAAAATATTACTCAGCAAATATTTCAAAAAGCAGTGTCTCACCAAGCACTCTGATCTGTGGCGGCAGATGCTTGTTTATTTTTTCAATGATGTCCTCGATCAACCGCACCTTCAGCGACACCACCTGGCCAGCTGCAGACACGCCCTACACAAATTCAAATTAACAGACACAGACATAGTTTGTCATGAACATATAACAAAACCAATACGTATCATTAATAACACATAAAATGAGCTGTGCAGATTCTCAGTCAACCAGGAGATGATAATCCTAAGAGAACAAACCAAAAAGCCTCTTGGGTGAGAAGTAAAATGTCTTCAAGAACCAAAAAACGAGAAGCCCAGCTGCCTTTTACTGAAGCTCTTAAGACAAAGTGGATCCACTATAAACAAGTAGACAGCAAATAAATACACAACATAGTTTATCCTTAACTGGCTTGTCGTCTTTACTACCACACTAAGCAACAACATCGTAACCCAAATAGATCATAAAAGAAAAACTCAAACTACAAACATTTTATATTTTATTATGGATGTTTGATTTTGTTTTTCCCTCAAACCTGCGTCATTGGCTGCAATGAATTCCTTTTGCATGCAAAAACATACCTTATCTGTTCTAGCACATCTTTGGAAGGACATCTTCTTCATTTCATCCCCGTGGTCTTCAGGAATGCAACCAGATTTAATGAGAGCAGTCACCAGGTCATCTTCAATGGTTCGAAACTGAGTGGTTCCAGTATTTCTCTGAAACAAACAAAACATTTACGTGTTAAAAAAAAGGAGGAAAAACAAGAGAAAATGTGTTTACAGCTGACTGAGGTCATGAAACATACCTGCATGCCGTAGTATCCCTTCCCAGAGTACGCCATAAGGAGGACCACTTTCTTTTTAGGATATTTCCTTTCATCGTCAGTGCGTTGCTCTTCTGTTTTTACTCTTTTGTTGGTCTGCACCTTCTCAGCCGAGTCGTCATTTTCCTCATTGGCTCTTTTCAACAGCTTGGCTGCCTGCTGATCAATGGATCCTTCACTCATCATGCAGAACAACTTAGAAAACGCACCTGTGAAGTGAAAACAACATGATGAGCGATGACAGTAGTGTCCTTACATGCTACCTGCTCTCTCTTAAGTGGATATACAGGAGAGCTAACCAGGCTGACAAACCATTTTGCACAGATTTCAACTAAGACATTTAGGGTCTAGACAACAAACGTGGAGTAACAGTGGCAAACACAACAGGAAAAGACTTATCTAAGGCTGGAAGACGTGTTGTTATCGTAAGGCTGTCTTACCGTTCCTCTCCAGCGTCCGTCTGCGGTCAACTAAGGCACTCAGCAGTGATCGGACCTGAAACATGTCAAGCTAAAGCATCATGAGAAGATCCTGCAGCTGAAAGATGCAAACGGCTCAATGAGTGGAACAGAGGAAGCTAGCAAGACTTAGCACAGGGTAGTTTTCTAAAACTAGCCAAGAGTAAAATCTTTTGTCTACTTACTGCAATACTTTCAGTGATTGTATACCAAAATATACATGGACTAACCAAAAACTGCAGCTGTACAGAGCTGAAATGTCCTGTAGCTGAAGCGGTGTGCACACATGGCAATGCCAACTTTGACCTCTGACGGAAATCTCGCGAGAGTCACCTTGTTCTCGTTTCTGGAAACGTCACAGACTGCGGTCACAGCAGAGAATTGGAAAACCATTCAGAAGATTTAATTTAAAGAATTATAATCAACTTCATTATTTTTTTTCCCCTTTTAGTTTTTATTTTTTGAGAAACGAGTATATAGAAAGACTCATAGAGGATACATACATGTAAAACATTACAATACAGTATAAATGTGATCAAAATTGTTAGACTTATACAGACGACAAGTGTAGGTGATGTTAAGGACAATATTTAGAGAAATATATAAGTAAACAATAATTTCTGAATGACTTGGTATAGAAAATATATATAATGTATGTGGGAAACTTTGCCTTTATAAAGCTAAATATGAAAAACTTCTAATTATTTTATTTTATTTTGTTTTTTCATGTAAGTGAATGATTACTTTTATACATGTCTGCGTTTATAATCTTTAAAACTAAACTGTATCTTAATCTTTGTTGTTAGCAGAATCTGAGATATCATTGTGGACAGCCAAAGCTCAGAAAATTGCTGCCACAAAGGGGTAATGTTACAATAGTTATTGAACATTTTTAGATTAAATCTTGTTTTAAAATAAAGGAAAAAGTCCAATGTGTGCAGTCAAATTAAGGTTGTATGGAATTCAGAGATGTAATAACTGTAGTAATAGTTTTGTCCACTTGAGTGCAGCAAAACGACATAAGCCGAGTCATGAGTCTACATGAAAATGTGCTTTTAAATGGAAATAGAATGAATTTCATTTTAGCAGCTTGCAGTTTTGTCTGACTCTTTTAATAAGACATTTTTCTTTTTTTGTCTGAAACTGTAGCATGTTGTCAATGAAAAGATGACCAAGGTTATTCCTCTGGCTTCTGTTGACCTTAAGAACTTCCTCAGTAAAGAGAGTAAGGCCCAAACATTAAATAATCTTACAAAGGCCTTTATAATTTCACTATAAATAAACTACAGTTTATTGTGCTGCTGTGGATAACAGTCAATACTTCAGTCTAACTCACTGTGTAGGGTGGCCGGGTTCACAAAGACCTCATCTTCGCTCAAATGGACATATTCCTACCCATATATATACATCATACTCTCATGCACTCTTGACTCAAAGCTGCTGTGACATTAAATGTAGGCTTGTTGTATAAACCAGAGACATACAGCTGAAGCTTCTCTTCATCATACAAGAACTCATACTAGTTTAATTTATGGTAGCCACTAACATTATGTGCTGTGACTCATGCAACTGTCACACATGTGGGTAAACACTAAAGTCAAATTATGCTGGCAAAGAGGCTAAGCACTTCCAGAGCGGTGAGGTGTTTATGTCTTTCTCAAGGACACCACAACAAGGAATAATACTGGTTGCCAAGAGGCCAAACTATTAACCTTCTCATCCTGGGATGTCCTTAAACAATTGCACTTTTTTTCATAGCACCTTATAAGGTGATCTACTAGTTTTCTGCTGAAAACCCAGTGCCAAACATAGGCATGCTATGGGAAAAGGGCCTCGGTAGCCACAATCCCATATCACATAAGGCATGCTTTTTTCCAGCAAATGCAGATCTAACCGGATACTTGTGATTCTCGGTGTCAAACAGTGAGTCTTCAAGATTTGTAATGGAGCTGCATGCAAGGTTTTACTGAGTGAAAGAGCTCAGAGTAGGAATATTTTTCAGTGAAATTATTATGGATTTGATTAGCCACAAACTCAATTAGTCTCTATTTCACTTGGGAGATGGTTGTTTTAAATATGTTAAATGTGCTTAACAAAACAGGCTTACATGACAAAATAGTCTCTTAATATGTTGACAAAAACAATTATTTTCATTTAAAAAATTAGCATTTTGTTGATGACTTTGTCCCGTCTGTCTGTCAATCATATTTTTGGTGAACCAGAAGTAATGTTGTTCTTATCCTCAGGGTCCTGAGATGTCTCATGTGAAGTTTGACAGACCACCAAACTCCAAATAGAGTCAACTGGCCTCACAGCGAGCCACTAAGCAAGCTGTCAAAACAGACCTAAGCTTTTTTTTCTTTTTTTTTTTTTTGCAAAGCTCACCTGCACTCCTCCACAGTGTGAGCCGGTCACACTGGTCTGTGCTTAAGAAAACAACCACAGCAGAGCCTTGATCAGTTTGGACTGAAACTCTCTGCCTCCTACATATAGGAAAAAAAAAAAATAATTACAATAACTCTTCTCATTGTCAGCAAAGAAATCCGCAGCTGTTACTCTGCCGGCTGAGTTACATAAGCTGTTGATCAAACCAGACGTCACACATCGGTTAAATGCTAGGAGAAGATTGGGTAATTTTATTTTCAAATAATGAAATAAGCTGTAAATGAATTACACAGAGAGGGAGGAGATATTGCTGTTTTTGAATTCACTGTGCATCGTCCTGCCACTCTCAAGACAACATAATTTGTGTTTACTGTATCAAGCAACAGTCAACAGAGCGGTAACTGAAGTCAGGCTTGAAAGGATCACGTAGTTTTTAGTTTTATATTTGGAAGGCTACAGCCAACTGTAAAGAGATGTTTTGTCAATCTTTCAAGTTTAAAATCTGTCCAGCTCACTGCCTTTGAGATAAGAGTTGACTGTTAAGTGTCTGATGAGGTTAAACTATTGATTTACTTTAAAATGCACCCTTTCAACCCAACAATGACTCCATTTTGGTTAAAGTCCATATAGTTATCTACTCTATGTCCTGTAATTTTAGTACATTTTTCATCATGCAGCAGTTTTTTATTGATTATAACAGGCAAAATAAAACATTACTTTAGATTTAAAAGCTATTTTAGCTTTTATTATGTGCATTCAAACACATAGATCTCCGTGTCAAGACATGAAATATGCAGTTTTGTGTCTTTCGACTAACATTTGTGGATATGTTTGTTGATTTCACATTTTTGGAAAATGTCATCATATTATTCTGTGTTCAAATAATAATGTGATTAAATACAATAAGGCAGCGAGAAAATTTAAGACATAAGTACTTGTCATTGCCAGTCAAAGATCACAATGAATTATAATTAAACTGTAGTTAATATAATGTTGCACAAACAGTGAGGCTGATGTGGTCTGTAAAGCTTTTTGTCTTGTTTTTATCAAGCAATCCCAGCAGCATAGATTTCGTCTTTCCTTCTCAACGAAGAGAAGTCTCACAGTGGCAGCACACATTAATCTCAGTGTCTGAAAATAACTTGTCTTCCAGATAGACAGCAGACACTGTCAGCTGCAAACCATTTCACGCAGGTGCTATCTCAACCCTCGTGGAGATTTTGATTTTAACTGCTTCTTTTCGCTCCGTGGGGTCAAGTAATTCTGACTGCTTTTGTTGTATAGGTGTTGATATCTGTTCTGGAGAAAAGGTCAGACCTGTCACTTCCCAAGTTGACTGTATGCTATCATTTCAAAATACACATTTTAGGACGGCTTCAACAGATACATTCTTTCTGACACCATGCTAACAGGTCAGAGAGCAAAAGATAAGATCGACTGCGTTGCATCACTCTGGCAAAGTCGCTCGATCGGTCCGACAGAAACTGGGATTCTTCTGAGACAACTCCAGTAACGCTGACGAATATAAGATAATAAAACTGGTGTGTGCAGCATCGCGAGGCAATGGAGTGGAGGCATTTCTTGGATGATACGAATTCATTAACATAAATTTAAAACGCAATGCTTATTTTTCTGCCACTCACGCTCAAAATAGAACATTAGTAATAAGAAGATGACTTATATGAACGGTGTGTTTGTAATAGAACTGGGGAAGACATTTATTATTTATGATGAACTGTGGTGACATATAATTTAAAATTATTCCTGTTGCTGAGCATATAAGCAACACATGGTTGAAATAAAAAAGATTTTGATTGCAGAATCTACAATGGGTAATCCTTTTCTACTCTTTAACAATATACACTATTTACAGAGGAGCTGCACTGCAATCTTACATTAGAGGGTTGGATTACTTTTGCCTGTTCAGTTCAGTACAGCTTTCCCAGTTGTACATTTAATATCAACAGACAACCAGAAATATCTAAAATGTCAGAAGACAGCTGTTGGGGACCATTTATGTGCTCTACAAATATGTTATAACATTTAAATTCATTATAAAAAATATAATATGGGTCTTGGAATTGAGCAGTTTTGGTTTGTTGACATGATTCCAAAGCAAAAAAATAAATAAAAAAACTCTTAAGACAAATTCAGTCGAGGAATACATGCTTTACTTGACTGGTAACTACACATAAGCCACAGCTGTAATCTATATGTTTCATAAAATACATGACAACCAAACAGTTTCTCATATAATTTTCTAAATTTTCTAATGTCCCCTGGATTTTAATACATTTTGGTAAACCAGCGTTCTCCAATCATGCGCCATGGCCATCGAATAACCTTCAAAAGACTCTTAAATGGAAACCTTCGCATCCATTAATGAGTTTAAGAGCATCATCAAGAATACAGCAAAAGAGGAACGTCACTGTTTTTCCTGAGAGGCCGCTGTCCTTGAATAGCTGTCGATCTGTTTTATTGTTTTACTCTTCGTTATTTTGACTTTGTATGGCTGCTAATGGAGATTTTTTAATCTCAATGGGACTTCCTGGTTAAATAAAGGTAAATAATTAATACGCTTTATTAACTTATGTTTCATGGGAAGGAATAAAACAGAAATATTTCCATGATGGTGTCACACTTGCTTTCCTTAATATATATAATTTAAAAAAAAAAACAATTTTAATCAATACAATGTCATGTTATATAATCATACTTTCTGAAAACCAATGACGCCCTTGGAGCAAGATCACACACATAACAGTATTTCGTGTAGAAACTATGAAACGTGAGTGTCATGTGGATTGGATATGAAGCTAATGTGGCTAATGGCAACACACATACAAACAGCCGTCGTGGAGAGAGAGAGCGAGAGAGAGAGTGAGCGAGAGAAGGACTTCCTGTGTCTGCAGCCAATGAGCTGGTTCCACATGCGGACACTGAACACCGCATTCGACGAAGAAACGCGATTGGTGCCGATGAGGACGCTGGTGATTCCGCAACACATAGGCAGAGAAGGGAGCCGAGCTGCAACTTAACCACATGTTTAAATCATCTATTTGGACAGATTACTCCGGGATTCGCCGTTTTAAAAGAAGGGGACGACGTCAACGACACCCACTTGAGACCGCGGCGTTGATATGAGTTTTTCGCCCGAGGTCTCACGAGAAAGCTAGCGGAGCACAGCCGGCGAATTCAAGCGGAGCCGAAAGGAGCAAAGGAACAGTTAGCTAGCTTTAGCCTGTTAGCTCCCCCACTTAGCCGCTAACACGTCCACTCTCGCCGCACACCTGCGCGCCGCGCTGCCCCGTGTTATCGCATCCCAGCCGGTTACCAGACAGCACCGCGGGCTTCTGCTTTAATTTTTCCCCCGGCATTTTTGCTTTGAGTCACGCGTTGACACCAGAGGAGGAGCGGTGAGAGCACCGTGACAGGTTGAGGTTGGGACCAGCGAACCGAGCGGTGTCCTCAAGTGGCCGTTAACCATGGACAACGCACACACAAAGACGGTGGAAGAAGTTTACAGCTTTTTTAACGTGAATGAGAGCACGGGTCTGAGTTTAGAGGAAGTGAAGAAGCAACGGGAGCGATATGGACCAAACGGTAAGGAGCCAGTTCACGTCTGTGTGTCCGAAAACAGCAGCATGCATGGCCCGTAGCTCCCCCGGCTTGTAACGGCCGACGAGCCAACAGAAAGGAAGCTGGCTGACGTCACGATCCGTATGTTGAAATAGTGGGAAGCATCGCTGCTATGTGACTGATTCAGCTCCCAACACACCATCCTCCGCCGTGCCGTGTTTCTGTTTAAATGTGTTTCACTCTTGCGACAGCAGCATGCTATAATTGTACACCAAGTGCTGACATGTACCTTAATAACTGCTTGTCCACCTTCTCTTTTTTGTCTGCGGCCTGAATGGGATGATGTGCAGAGCTGCCAGCCGAGGAGGGTGAGTGGACCACTGTGTGTACATACAAGAAGTCACCTGTGGATATAGATTTGCAGTTTCTCATTCCTGCTTTTTACCACTAAAGGCAGTCATTAATTATTTGAATGACACTCTTGTTTTGTAGGTAAATCCCTCTGGGAGCTGGTTGTCGAACAGTTTGAAGATTTGCTTGTGAGGATCCTTTTACTTGCCGCCTGCATATCCTTTGTAAGTATCACACACGTGTTTTGGGAGCTGCAGAGGGGGTTTGTTTAGTGCTAAGCCAACATGAAACCTCACAGAGCTGACTTAGCAAAATGTATGCAGCGGTTCATGTCCGACGTGCACATTTATTTCCTTTGACCTATTATCATGATTAGTAGAAGTTAAAGTCTGTGAACAGGTTGTGACGCTCCTGTAAGCTGCTGGGTTCAATATTTAACTACATATAGAGTGAGTTTACATAGTATTTTGGTGTCAGAGTAGTGAGAAGGTAGTTCACATTTGGATTTTGAGTACAAGTGCCTCATTTCCTTCAGTGAGGAAGACGAAATAAAACAGTAAAACTTGGCTTTCTGCCAGTTGAACATTGTCTATGCTCATCTTCACCGCCATGTTTTTTTTTTTTCGTTCCACGGATAAGTTCAGTAGGTTTTTCATTTTCTCAGTGCAGCTCTGCCAGCCTACACATTGTATGTAATCATTTTCTGATTGATTCTGTGCAGATGACAGCTTAGCAAGAATGCTGTTCAGAATGGAAAAGCAAGGCGCCCAGAATCTGTCTGGTGACACAGCCCAGATGAACGTTTTTTTTTCTGATTTTGTTTTAAGATATTAATACAAACACGGATTTGCTCTTCAAGTAAATCACAAGTCAGCGAAGCCTCTTAGAGTGTGTTGTTTCATAGCGATTGTATTGACTCATCAGTAGACAAATTATGTAGTTAAAAAGAAATAATGTCATGGGGCTAATGTGGAAAGCGATGTTAATGCCACTTTATCATGTCTGATGATTATGTGCTATGTTGTTGGAATGAGCAGCATGCCAGGCAACAGACACCTGATATGTCAGCATGCCTCTCTGATGATTGGATTTCCAGACGTTAACATGCCACTGCAAGACAGCGATGACTTTACGAGACCTTATTACGAGTCTCGGCATTACTTGTCCAGTACTCATGTTGTCACCATAAACACAACCTGACAGATCCTTTAATGAACAGACATGACGTACGACGCTTGTGTTCTTGTCGCCGGCGAGTGGCAATTCCCAGCACAGTGTATGTACAACACAATTCACCGTCCTTTGGCCCTCTTTCTACTCTCGGATTGGCTGTTGAATCATTGGCTCAGGCTATCATAAGTCACCAAGGCATTGTGATAACAGCCAGCTATGCTTACAAGGATCATAAATCATCAGCTCTAATGTACAGTATGCCTTCAGCCACGCGGCACATGCAAACACATTTACATTTATTCCAGCGCGGCTAAATGTGACGACGTTTGACTACAAAATTACACGCTAACCTTTGTTCGACTTCACGATCACGCTCTCAGGAGTAGATTGGTGCAACATAAGCGACTTTATTTTATAGACGATAAATTGAATGTTATGTTTGATTGGCAATGCCTAAATAGGTTAGGGTTGGAGAAGAGGGAGGCAGTTGCCATCTCATTTGACACACTTCACTGCTGGCACAGATTCTAAAAGAGGAGAAAGTAGTTACTACTCTCTTCCTAACACACTTGGCCCAGTTTGCGGTACAGACAGAAGCTGGCTTGATATTTATCATGAATTATTACGTGATTGGTGGTAGTTAAAGTCATTAAATCAAGCGTGTATGAACTGAGGTGGGGTTCTGCTTTAACTTTACCTGAAAGAATGGCGCATGGGAAGAGCGTCTGAAAGGAAATTCCAAAATTAGCATGATGTTATTGTCTAGAAAATTAGTTTGAGAGGCCTTGTAGCTAATTTATATTTGAAAAATACCTGCACACAGAAATTAGTTTTCAGTGTCTTTTCAAAAAATGTCAAACTGTGACACTATACTGCATTCTGTGAAGTGAAGAATAAATAGCAAATTATTACTATAGTTTGACTCACATTGAACTGTGTTTGGCAGATAGGGTGCATTTGCTGGTTTTAAAAAAATAATAACTGAGGTTATGAGTTTCTCCTTAATGTTGTTCTGGCCTGAGACAAACTCCACTCGGGGTGCTGATGTCTAAAACCACTAAATACACAATCAGCTGAAAATAGCTTTGACCTTTCTACCTCCTCTTTGTTCCATTGATGTGGATGACGTAAGGAGGCAAGCAACACTGATTAATATTCTGTTATATATTGTGAATTTCAAAGTCCTGCGTGTTCTCATTCAGGCGCGAGAAGGTCAGGTTCCATGGAAATTTGGCAAAGTCAGGCCTGTAAACATTTTGTTTACAGTGACTAGAAATAGTCAGCGCTTTACCATACCTCTCACATTGTTTAGCCAACAAAACCAAAATGATATGACCCCCAACCAATAACTTTTGGAAATTGAGCCCTTTGTAAACACTCCTTGCTTTGAGCATACAGGAGTATTTATTTCAGGTTGTTCTTTAGCTCATGTTATCCAATGCTACAGTATGTCAAAGATCAATTGTTATTTGCAGTATATTTGAATGCTGTTAACTTTTCTTTGTCTGTCTGTTTCACGTGCAGGTGCTGGCCTGGTTTGAAGAGGGAGAAGAAACGGTTACAGCCTTCGTGGAGCCATTTGTTATCCTACTTATTCTCATAGCAAATGCCATCGTAGGAGTCTGGCAGGTAAACGGTCATTACAGCTGCAAATCTCCCCTTCGTATGGGTGATTAGAACTTGTCTTGTGTACTAAAATAGTTACCTTGAAACTGAAAACAATGGGTCCTTTTTAAAATAGCTACCAAACAGTGGATAATTAGCTGAGGTTTGTTTAAGAAGTAACTTTGCTCAGGAGGTTTTCACCAGATTGCCTAAATAGGACTGATGTCAGGCGGCGGCTGTTCAACGCTGAATAGATGAGAAGCAGAAGAATTTTCCTGCCAGCATGTGTCCTACCTATTGTTCAGCTTAGCAGACTTAGTAAATTATAATATCTCAACAGCTGGAGCAAAGAAGCTGAAGACACAGCTGAAGATTTATTTATTTTTATTTTTTTAAAGCATGATATCCTAGAGGGAAAATGTGCATCTGTTCCTTAAGTGTCATAATAGTCATCAAATGATTGTCGGCAACGTGAAAGATGCACAGCTTGTAGGACTCTGCTTGAAAGAGGAAACTTGTGTCATGGATGAAGCAGACTTGTACTGATTGGCAATCAGATCTACAGCCTCTGTTAATCAGCGCACGACTCTGCTCCTTAGTTTAAAGCACAGCTTTAGCACTCCATTTTTCATCTACCCATCCTGACAAGTGTGCGGTGTAATCTTGACAAAAGCCCGCATCTACTTTCTCCGTGTGGCTGCTACATGCAAACCTCTCTGCTAGATTGTCTTGAAAAGTAAATGCTCCTTGAAGGTCCTGCTGGGGCTTGTGTAAATGGGGAGTTGTGCTGTTTGCCTTTGTTTATGCAAACAAAGCCACTATGAATGAAGCTGAGAGGGAGGCGGCTGTAGCTGCCGGTTTTTTTTGTGTTGATATGGTCGTACCTGTTGTCAAGTTAGGCCAGCCTTCCGCTTAATTCAAACCAACTGTAGATTTGTAGGCCCTTTTTAGCACCTTGTAAGTATGTAAACCCTCACCTTTCCTCTGGCAGCCATTTTAAGAACTCCGTCCCTGTCGGTCACCCTCACAAAGACCATAGTTTCCTGGGATTGTGTGCCCTGTCTTGCCATGTCTACTTGAGGACTGCCTGCCTTCCAGCTAAGCTGGGAGCTGCCACTAAAACTATCCAGCCTGTGACCAATCAGCCAGACAAGGAAAAGTCAAATAACAGAAAAGTCAAAGTGAAAAAGGATTAGAAAGAAACTGAGCAGGCAAGAAAGAATGCTGGCGAAACTGAAGTAAGAATGTCATTGTAGCCTTAAAATTAGAGTGCTTTTACATAAATTTGTCCCATTTTACAGTCAATCTAAAGTGTACTGTTTCACTTCTGTTTAAAGAATCCAAACCCTTTTTCTGCCTTTTACAACACACCACAGTGTTTACATAATTCTACTCCACTGCCTATCCTAGTTCACTGGTCATGGGCACTTTATTTTTTATATGTCGCTTTGCTTATATAAAGATAGCACTCCACGCTCCGCTCTGTCCATTTTGAACAGCAGTAGACTGACTAAAATAAAATATCTTCCTTTTCATTTCGATCCCGTGAATTGTCTGATGTTTGTGTAAAATTTGCTTCTTTTTTTGTTTGTTTTAAACTTCTTTTTTTCCCCCTATTTCTTCTGTGAAGGAACGAAATGCAGAAAATGCCATCGAAGCGCTTAAAGAGTACGAGCCAGAGATGGGAAAAGTCTACCGCCAAGATAGGAAGAGTGTCCAGAGAATCAAGGCCAGAGACATTGTGCCTGGAGACATTGTGGAGGTGGCAGGTAAGATCACCAAAACCGAGCAGACACTCAGACATGATGCTTTCTAATACTCCAGGTAATCTGAGTTGCTTGAAGGTTATCATGACAAAACATAAGGTTGGAAACCACCAACATAAAATAGAGAAATCATATTTGAAGTGTACTCACGTTGATGAAAACTTTATTTGTCACTTACTCTTGACGTTTCTATGCACAGAGTTTGGAGGAGCCAAAGCAATTAAACAATATTCCTGAAGTTGTATCATGGCTCCTTGTGAGTCTCTGCCATGCTTCCCAAACAAACGACAACATAATGTTCATTTGGTTTGTCTCCATCAGTACTTGTTTTGTTAAGCTATTTATGGATGGATCACCTGATCGGTTTATAACTGGTCTTGTTACTGGTTTCTATCTAAAACTTGAAAGATGTTGAATTGAGGGCTGTAATTCAACAAGCAGATGAGTGAGCAGAAGAGATATACTGCTCTGTAAACATCATCAACAGCGTTATAAAGCACTCTTTATATAGTTTTAAACACACAGCTGATCCCGCATCCTGTTCTTCTCCCTTGACAATTTCAGAATAATGGTAGTACCAAGTAAGTAAAGCGGTTACGCAATAGAAGAGCAGAGGTCCAGTCTGTTCCTGAACATTTCTTGGCTAACCTCAACTTGGTTGGGCCACATATGTTTATAGGTTTTGCGTCACTGCTCCTCATTTCCCAGTGTTTTCTTACTGAGACTTAATTTTATCTTTTATCTTTGTTTCTATCTTTCTTTGCTTTTCTTTTCCCTTTTTTTCCCTGTTTCTGTTAATTATGTAGTTTCCCATAAAAAGAAAACCAATTTACTTTATCCAAAAGCACAGCTTGGTTTAGGAGGGTCACAGAAATGATTACTTTACGGTCTATAATCTTGTCAGACGGTAAAAGAAAGAGCTGCAGAACCCATAGTGTTGTACTGCCTGTCAAAGTAAATGCTGTATTAACTCAGGCTATTTCAGTCTAACTTGAGCAAGCTGAAATGGTCTTGTTAATTCTCATATGAACTCATTGTTTACAAATGCATCTACAGGATTGATTTGCTAATGACGAATAAGGTCGTCTTGTATTATAATAATAGACATTTATTGGTAAATAATTGCACGAGGCATCAGTGGAGACAAAGTCATAATCGGCACTTACATAATTGCCTGACATGGCATCGTGACTTCTACAGAAGCTGCTGCACAGCTAAGGGGATTTCGGTTTTCTGAAATAAATCCTGAAATTGAATCTTCACAGCCTCCGACAAATGACAACGAATGACAGATTAAAGCTATTCTAAAACAAGAGCTGCAATGTTACGGCCAATTTCTGTTTGTTGATTTCTGGAAATGGTTGGCCCCTGCTGTGCTTCAGTCACTCGCAAGTTCCAAACACTACCTGTAAACATAACAAAACACTGTACAGTGAAAATAAAAGTGTGACATAGACCTTATTGCAGCGTGTTCTAACATTACTAAATTCTGCATGAAAAAAAAAGTTTATTTCTTTAACCAAAATAATCACAAAACACCTTATCTTGTTTGACAGCTCCATTTTTGCCGTCTTTAATCCGAACCAGGGTTGCCAAAGAAATGGAATCAAAATCAATTAAACCTCGTTATGAAGAGCAGCACTCGACCCTACTGTCTTGTTTCTGTTGATTTTTCATGCTTCAGATTTTCTCGCTGTCTCGGTGGCCTCCACATCTTATTCCTCTCTGACAGCAAATGTCACCATGCAGCGCTGCACTTGACGTTCTTGGTAGCAATTCAGACGTCGCCTTATGATGTGATCCGTGTTGAGTCCACCGTTTGTGCGGCTTCAATCATTGTGCTATTTTCAGAGTCGCATGAATCATTCAACCTGCTATCTAATATTTTAGAGGAACATAAGCTAATTCAAGCAAGTTGCTCGGCGTGCTTTATGTACGCAGTTACAGCCGCGAGATTTACTGTCTGCAGTGGCAAGCTGACCATAAATATGGTCCCGAGTCTGATAGATGGGTCTCCGAGATCACATAAGTTACGAGGAAGGAGTTGATTTACAGATTTCGGTTGCATAATACGGATCTGTGAAATTATTTGCGAGAACTACGATAGTGATGTTTGCTTAGCTGAAGAGGTATGTGTCCGTGTGTTTCTGTTAGCAGCGTTGGGGAACCAAGTGGTCCACCAGCGTGCGTGAAATGCAGGAAAAGTGATGTATGAGTGTTGTGCCAGGCTGTAAAGTGTCTTGTCAAACCAGGCGTATGGTTTATGTCCTCCTTGTACTCTTCTGCCGTCACAATCTCCGAATCTTTGTCAGAGCAATTGTTGCTAAGTGGTCAGTTACACTTTGTTTGCTGAGTGTGCAGATTGCTATGGTTCTGCGACCCGCTTTGTGTTGAGAACATGCTTTTTCCAGGCCTTTCTTTGTATACACAGTGAGGGTTATGCCCACTCCTGCTCTCCCAGTCATGAATACACTTCTTTCTGACTTGCGTAAGAGTAAACCTACTGTCTCAACTACCTAGAGGACATCAAGGATAAGAGGACACGTTCCATTAGCGAGATTACCTCAGGGATGTGTCTTTCCTGCTGTGTTTGCTTACTTGTCACAGTTGAGTTTTTGGGTTGTTTTGAGCAGCTTGCTTTGCAGTACGAGTAAAAGTATCACTGACCACAGTTAGGTTTATGTGACGCACCTGCTTACTTTTGCATCTGTGGTGTAGATCTGAGCTGCTAGCTTAAATGATCTAGTTCATATCTATGTGGCACAGTCACCGCTCACTGAGGACATTTTTAGATGCGGTGGCAGTCTGAATCAAAATGTCAGGTTTCATTAATTTATTAGGTTTGAGTTACAGCAACACCTCACATTACTGCTGATGAAGGTTTTGTGTTGAGCACAGGGAGCTGATGACTGTTTTGCTGTGGACTGATTTCCCATTTACAGTCACAGATGCATGCAGCTCGGAGTGAGATGGCTGCCTGCCACAATGTCATGAAAGCCTATATATAGACATTTTCAGCATTTAGAAAGTAAACAACCCCACATAAAAATGCTATTTCAAGGATCATGTGTGTGCAGCACAAATCCTTGCATTTCCAAACCTTTTTTGACCACACATCGCTTTTGGATAGATGGCTCTGACTAGCTAAAGCGAGACACATGATCCTATGAAGCAGCTATAGCAGTGATAAAACACAAACTCATTACCCTCTACAGGTAGTGATAATGGCCCGTGTGTCACTTGTATCGCCAGCTGGCAGCCTGGGTTAAAGGCACACACAAATGGAGTTGCAACACGAGAGTAGGTCATCAGTTTATTTACTTAGTGTGACAGTAACATGATGTCTCCTATTGTGATTGTCTTTTTAACATTCATTTCATGGAAATTTTTCCAAAAGTTAAATGTTAGAAACGTATCCTTTGCTTAATTGACCGCACCAGGACCGTAATAAATCACATTACGGACAAGGTGTCAAGGTGTGAAGTTGCCAGTTTTGCTGGTTATCTCCAGTTATGTCTTGAGTTGCGTATCGCCCACGTCACAATGACTCACTGTTCCTTCGTTGAGCTATTCACACACTCTGTTTGGTCTCTTGACTATTGCAGGGTTTCATTAACAACCCCGAGCGAGTCTACTGGTGTTATTTACTGCCAGGCAGCGCTCTGAGGCAACAGTGCCAATTCTTTTTCTCTTCCAGCTTGCTTTTGTTTCACCTTGCAATTACTTTTTTGGATGTGAGATGTGACACTGATCACCTCTGTTCTTTCTGGCTCATAGTTTAACCCGCAGTCTGAGTTAATGTTGTCCTCCGCTGGGGAGGAGACAGCAAGGCAGGATGTAACATGTAGAAAGGATACAGATTCAATTCGATAAATAATTTGTGCTCCAGATGGCCACATGGCCAGATTTCCTCCCTTGTGTTTAAGAGTGTAGGATAGTCTGTCTATTGTCATCACCCAAGCCATTCGTCTCTGCCTGTCCTTTGCTGCTTCTCTCTTCAATTTGTCTGCACTTCCTTGCTTCATTCCTCTGCCTCTCACACGTTCAAGGATGTACTTCATTATTTCTACACGGTGAACATGATATGCACTGCACAATGTCATGTGTGTTTGTGTATGTTCAGGTTTTGTGTTGTGATTTTTTTTTTTCCTATTCATGAGAGAATTAGACGAGTCCCAGGAGAGCCGTAGGGACTCATGAAAAGCCCCAGAAGGCTGCGAGCCTACGTGCGAACACATCAGAGAACCTCAGTAACTGCAAGAGAAAATATACAACCCCTCAAGGCCTCTAAAGTTTCACTGGACCCCCCAGGATGAATAGTTGGGTGCAGGGTAACGTGCACTATAACTCAAATCTAAATATAAAGCTCAGTATGCGCTGTTTTGTTTCTTTTGTTGATTTCAGATATTGTTGAAGTGATTGTCGGCTGTAGTCCACAGTTCCTGAGCTTTATCGCACGAGTCAACGCTTATATTTCAGCTGCATGGGGTAGGGTTTCACATCTTAGTCAGGATCAGGGGGGGTAAAAGTCAGGATCCAGGCCCTGAATAGTGTTTTAAAGCGACTGATGGAGTGTTATCAGTTAAGCGTATGCAGCCTGACATTTGTCCCTTTCTCAGGGGAACAGATAACACAGATAAAATCCTTTGTTCACAAGGGAGAAGCAAAGGCCCCTGTCCCAGAGGCTGTCCACTCTTTCCCATAAAAATGAGAGCTAAAAAGAGCGTGTTCTGTAAGATGAAAGGGAGAGAAAGACGTGTCACCCTCGGCTGAAATAGCTGCAAATTTTGGATCGCTGCAGCAAAGTACTGTAGATAATTGCAAAATAATTGCATTCATTGTGTGCAAAATAGAATGAATTTTAATATACAGTAACAGCAATTTCAGAAGCAGAGATAATTGTAACTTATGCTTATCTTTCTAATTAATACTGACCATTGCATGCTTTGCTTATTGCTCTCATTGCCTGTTAAAGTGGGTTAGTCTACTTGCTTTGACCTTATTCCCAGTATACACCAACGGGTGGAAAATAGCTGGGTGTTTCGCTATTACTCCGAGGTAGGAGCTTTTCTAATTAATGATTTTCTGTGGGAACCTTCCCACAGGGCTTTGAGCCTTTAATATTTCCAGTGACTGCAGCTCCTCGGCTCCTCTGCGCCGTCCCTCATGCTACGCTTGTTCATCTCGTGTGCTATCTCCTGTCTGTTACGGCGGATCTAATTTAAAGGCAGGCAGGTGATGATGAAGTGGAGAGCCTGTGATCAACTGGAGGACCAAATTTGGTAGTGCTGCAGCTGCTATAGGCCGCGAGCATTTTCCCTCAGCATGACCTCAGCATTACCACATGTTGCAGTAATAACATTTCTAAATGAATTGCTCAACGTCAGCAGAAAGTGAACCGATGCTGTTATTTGCTTATTTTATTGGTTGCATAGTTCTTAACCAGAATTTCGCCACTTTGTTCTGTGTATGAGTAGCAAACCCTGTCACAGATTTATAAGAACAGTCGTAATGAATGAACTGTCTTTACGCGAGCACACGTCACATCGTTTCTATTTCGGCTCGTGTGACGTGGAGCGGGTTCTCCTTGCTTAAAACAGAAGTTTTTCGCTATCATCCCCCCTCCCCCAAATCAAGCCGCATGTTTTCAACTGATCAAAATAGTTTTCCCATTTTTGGACGTGTGTTTTGCAAAGACTCATCTAATCCTTCTTCCATTCTCTCCTCTCCTCCTTCCCCTTTCCTCTTCCTCTCCACTCAGAAGGGCACTGCAGAGGCCCAGGGGTTGGTTTACATGTCTGTCACCACGGTCCACAGAGAGATCTCTTAAGAGCCTCTGGGTCACTGCTTTTACTTCTATCCTTTCAAGCTGTGCGATGTCTCACTGTACGATGAAAGTAAATGTTCCTTTGGTGCAACGGTAGCGTTTTCCATCGTGCTTACCTCTTTGGGATTAAAATATCAGCCATCATTTTTGGGTGCTATGGGGACCCGTAACGAACATACAGGCTTAACACGACAGTTAAGTTTGATGGAGGGATCATGATTGTTGGAATCTGAAGTACATGGATTCGACCTGTCAAAAGGGGAACATATAGCATGCTTGTATTTCCACAAAGGAAAAAAAAGCACTTAAGAATCTGCATTCATAAAACTCTGTCCTTCAATCAAACCACGGCGCTGAAACATTCATATGTTAGTGCTTTTATCTGTGCAGGTCAGACACAACTGCACATGAAAGCATACAAAGAATTCCAACTGTTTGCTATTCTCTTTAGAAAAGCTAATAAATGTCAGTGGCTTTAATGGTGCTTACTGGAGAAAACACTCGTTTGAAATTCAGTGCGTGTTTACATTTTGCATTTGCTTTACTGGGGAACGCTAAAGTCTTCTGTTAGTGGAAAGAATGAGCAGCAATCTATTTACGTCCTGTGCAGATGAGTGGAACATTAATAATTTTCGAATGCATGACTCTCCCCGAGCCTCTCTAACAAATAACTTGAGTTTGATTATTTTATTTCTCCCATGAGCATGAACTGGGATAACATGGCAGTCGAATTAATTTCCAAGGGTTTAGTGTCTGCGTGCGGTTTGCGATGCGTTTGTTTATTGCTTTTGTCTTTCCGTGATAAAAGACCCTGGTGCCTTTTTACATCTGGGACTGTATCGCATCAAATCGCCTTCTGTTGTATCTTGTGTTGTTCAAAGTGTCCATCCACCTGTAGTCTTTCCAGATGTATTTAAATTGTTAAGAGGTACTTAAGTAGCTTATATGTGCTGTTGTTTCCCTCCACAGTTGGTGATAAAGTGCCTGCAGACATCAGGCTGTCTTCTATCAAGTCAACCACACTGAGAGTAGACCAGTCCATTCTTACAGGTAAAGCCATTTTTTTTAAGTCTTTATTTTTTTTCATCTGTGTGAGCTCTTGCTGCCCTAACCGTGACATTTAATCGTATATTTACATCAAACCCTCCTTTAAACGCACAGCTTCCATACTTCTAGGCACTTCATTCTTCTCTTTTGTTGCGTCATTTCTATGCCTGCCTCGTCAACCAGCTCACCTCTTTTGATCAGCCCATACATATTACAACGAGAAAAAGCAATTTCCGCCTCCTTTTGACGCACATGCCCTCATTACATTCAGTAGCCATGGCTGCTCAGTCAATACCCGACCAACAAGAAGCGAGCGCGACGCGGATGAAACCGAAATGGATGAACGTGCGGACGGATAATTAGACAATGAGGTAGATGGAAAAGATTAGAAGGGGAGAATATTGAAGGACGGATAATGTATGAGAGGAGAGGTTTATGTGAATCAAGTCCTTAAATCTCTTGTCTTGCTCCGCTGCCTTAATTGGTAGCAAATTCCATGGGATATTTTAGTGTTTGAGCTATTTTTCTCCTCTCTTCCTCTCCCCATTCATGGCCATACCGCCTGTCAAACGCTCCCTGGCTTACTCTATCAGAAGTGTGCAGGCCCAGCACAGTTGATTACACACACAGACCCACACAGTCTAATCACGCATCAGATGAGGGGTTTGAAAGGCAGCGGCAGGGCAGCGTTTGATAATTGTCAGGCCGGCTCAGTCGGCTGCGAAACCTTTTCTACGCATATCTCTGCGCAAAAGTGTCAACCAACCAACAGAACCACCACTACATGCTCTGCAGTGTAGAACTCTCCCAATGCTTCCTATTCAATTACTATGTTTTTTTTTTTTTGCTTCTTCTTCTTCCTGCAGGGGAGTCTGTGTCTGTGATCAAACACACAGACCCGGTGCCCGATCCACGTGCTGTGAACCAGGACAAGAAGAACATGCTGTTTTCTGTGAGTTTAGGCCGTTCAGTGTGGCCCAATGACATACTTCCTTTGCATCTGATTACACCTATGAAGGAAACAGTGCTCTTCCTGGTCTTCCTTACATTCACTTTAACCAGTTTTACAAAATGTTGAATTAGTAATTTGTTTCCTTGACTTTCTAGTTTACACACACACGCTTGAGATTTGTTGAAAGGACCGTTCATGCCTCCAGTGGCTGCTTTCACTGTGATTGAAATGTGTTTTTTTAGGAAAGTGATATAAGACTCAGATGACGTGAGCTGCATGCTGGCTCTTGCCGCATGTAAAATCGCGTCTTTGTGCCTCATACATGTCTCAGAGTTGTTGTTGAACTAGTTTTACCTGTTTGCCCAGAAGCCTGATGCATAATGGTTTTTTTTCTTTCTTTTTTTTTCCCTCGCTGCTCCAACTCCACAGGGTACCAACATTGCTGCTGGTAAGGCCGTCGGCGTGGTCGTGGCCACAGCTGGCAACACTGAGATTGGCAAAATCAGGGATGAGATGGCATCAACAGAACAGGAGCGCACGCCACTGCAGCAGAAACTGGATGAGTTTGGGCAGCAGCTGTCCAAGGTTAGTCAAGTTACATTAGTTTTTTTCCCCCCTTTTGTATCAAATAAAGAAATCAGCTATTTCTGCTTTATCAAAATGTATATTGTTGATGCATTTATGATTAAATGATATTAATATGATCTTTGCATAATGTTTAATTCAAGGTGATCTCACTGATCTGCATCGCCGTGTGGATCATCAACATCGGACACTTCAACGATCCCGTCCACGGAGGCTCCTGGATCCGAGGCGCCGTCTATTACTTCAAGATAGCCGTGGCTCTGGCAGTGGCTGCAATTCCTGAGGGTAGGTTGGGGAGCTACACAAAGACAGCCGTGTCCTTGATATGCTTGTTGCTCTGAGAGGCTCCAGTGGAAAATGCGGGAATATAGGCTGTCTTTCAATACTGATGATATGGGGACAAAGACAGGGTTTTTTTTTTTTTTTATCACTTGAGTAAATAATATAAATGGCAGTCTACATCTCTTTCTGGAATTGTTCATCTCCTCCCATAAGTCTTAATAATCCTCTTTCCCTTTGTGGGCTTGTTGCTGCTCCTCTCCAGGTCTGCCTGCTGTCATCACTACCTGCCTGGCTTTAGGAACGCGGCGCATGGCCAAGAAGAACGCGATTGTCCGCAGCTTGCCCTCCGTGGAGACCCTCGGCTGCACATCTGTCATCTGCTCTGACAAAACTGGCACGCTGACCACCAATCAGATGTCTGTGTGCAGGGTAAGAGAACAGCGGGCGGCGGTTCTTAATAGAACGATTGCTGGTGGATTGTTTGAGGGGATTTCATGTATTTATTTTCTTCACGCCACCATTTTTGGGACGCGAGGGAATTTTAAACTGGTTTTTGAAGAGGCCAGCCTCTTTGGCAGTCATGCTCTGTGGGGAAGCCCATCAGAGGTCCGCTTTTAGAAAGAGACAAATGTTCATATAAATAAAAACATAAAATGATAAAGAAGCGTGTTAAAGAACATTTCAGCTGAAAAGACGGTTTGGACGTTTTGTCAGCTGGGTCTGTCTGATCCTTCTCATGATGGGTTGTAGTGAGTTCTAGCTGGCTGTTTAGAGTTTGTTGGGTTTTTTTTAAATTTTAATTCGATGCATTTGATTCAACTGTTTATCAGAAATCCTATATTTATGCTGTTATTTCCTATACTTGTGCCACAAGGTAATTGCCAATCTTGAAAGTGATTAAAATCAGCTCATTAACCTTCAACAGTAAGCTATTTACATTCTTCACATGCAGCTTAGAGATTAAAGACATGGTTAATTAATCTGATCAGATTAAACAGGCATACCAGAAGTGATGTAATTATATGGCACAGCATTAAAAAAACTAAAAAAAAGTCCGACAAAGACCATCAGGGATCACAACCAAACCCATGAATGAGACTGAGGTGTGTCTGTTATGCATCATCACCACTTGTGTTCATATATACACAGCGTAAAGACAACTTCAGACCACTCGGCTCTCGTATATACACCACACTGAGGAATACTCGCTAAATATTCCTGCCTGCTAAATATGATGAATAGGATGTGCTCAGAGCGTCTGACTGGCTGAGCTCACTGGATTAAAAGTTAATTGTGGATGGGCATCTGAAGGGAGTGATTTTGGTATTTTGAGGCTTTAGAGAGGGATTGCTTCAGTGAAAATCTTAAGTGGCGTACCTTTAGCATTAAACAGATGTGATTCCTAGTGATTACATTCAGGGAAGCTTCTCTTAAAGCTAGCTTTCCTTGCATATACTACACTGTGACCTCATTTTTAGGTCCCAAAATGTATCCAGTTGCAAATTATGTGAATCGTGACGATAGCGTTCACATTGTGTCAGCAGCACCTTGTGTTGCAGGCAGTGTATGGCTGTGCATATCCTCCTTTAGTAGCAGTGAACAGTGTTTAGACTGAATGACTTACAACAAATAATGAAGGCTTAGGGTTGTATACAGGCAGAAGTATGTATGTGTTATGATCCCTGCTATGATCATGCTGTATTGATTCACTAGTCACTGTCTATTCTTGTCTAACAAACATATATTCCTGCGTATTTTTCCATCTCTCCATCTTTTTCAATGCTTTTCTTCAGCCCCCACCCCCTATTCAAGCAGCATGCTGATCAGTATGCAGTAGTTAGTCATTTGCAGCAAAACCAGTAGAGTTGCATAACTGACCTTGTGTCTCTTTCTGCTGTCTCTCTATCTTTTCATCCGTTGCCCATCCCGCACAGCTTTCTGCAAGTGAAACCTATGTTGAGCAATTTTTCAGACCTTTTACTCAGTGGCTGGAGGATGTCATTTCTGGCTGTTTGATGCATTTGAGGCATCTGCAGCATCCAAGATGCCCCCTGTCCAAATAGGGCACGACTAAAATTAGTTGCCCTGGGTGAATGAGCGTTGTTATTCAATTCAGTTTCTTTGACTTGCTCTTGTGTTTTGGAAAGGACTGCCACTGACATCACTGCTTTTTGTGGTCTTGCTGGTGCCTGAGGGGAGTGTCGCCGTAATGCCAGCTCATCATTTTATTAGAATATTTCTGTTTTCATCCTTTGTGCATGTCTGTTCTGCCCCTCTGTGTAGGACAGATGTGGTGCCTTGGATTGAACACTGTGTTGTGTATGAATGGCAGCATGGTTGTGATATCGATGTTAACAGTTCTGGTGTTCTGTCACTCAAAACCTCTGTTCCTCCCTCTCGCTTGTTCGGCTATGTCTTGGTTCCATTTATCTCCATCATTGTACAACATGCTTTATCTTTTTCATATTTAATCAACAAAATCTGCTTTGTACATCTCAAATTAAAAATAACTTTCTAGACCAAGTTTATGATGGCGCTGAGTAAACATGACAGTGCAGTGACTTTTCCCATCCAAAGGTTTGAATTCTCGAGTATTTCTACAGATTCTGAGTCACTTTCTGATGGGGTGTATTCATGTGGTCTGACTGCACTCAGTGGAATCCTGACATTTATGGAGCCTCCCCACCACCGTGCTCAGCGTCTGCTTTGGCTCAGCGTTTCCTTATTGTAACCTGTTCTATGTTAGGGTGGACTCATAAATATGAAGGGGTTTTTGTCAGGTTTATTGTAGTGTGCTGCCCCCTGCTGGACGCCGTGTGCACCAGCCTCTCAGCTTCCCTCTGCACTATAACTCATTACATTTTTAAATAATGAAATGGATCCAGCATTTACCACCTTGCTTAGAATTATTGATTCAGCCGTCATTCACGTGGCACTTACCCACCGGTAATAGACGTGCTGTGTGAGAATCAAGCACTAACGGTTTGTCTCTGCGATTTCCAGATGTTTATCATCGATCGGGCAGAAGGAGATCACTGTTCATTAAAGGAATTCACTGTTACCGGCTCCACATACGCCCCAGATGGAGAAGTGTGAGTATCCAGTGTGCTGGAACATTAAATGAGTGCATTTTTATCACGATAAATCAGAAGCATTTGTGTAGAAATGGGTGCTTGTCTTGTTTTTTCCCTTAAAATCTGCACAGCTGCCTCACCAGCTCATCCCTTCCTCCCTCTTTGATTTGTTTAGGTTCCAAGATGGCAAAGCTGTCAGATGTTCCCAGTACGACGCCTTGGTGGAGCTGGCCTCTATCTGTGCTCTCTGTAACGATTCCTCACTGGACTACAACGAGGTCGGCGGTGTTAATTGGTTCTTACTCCTGTGAGCGCCCCCTGATGGGATTTTCTGATGACAATGACTGACCTTATCATTCATCTCTGCTCGTGTCAATCCAGACCAAAGGTGTGTACGAGAAGGTGGGCGAGGCCACAGAGACGGCGCTCACGTGCCTGGTGGAGAAGATGAACGTGTTCGACACAGACGTTAAAGGCCTGTCCAAGATCGAGCGAGCCAACGCCTGTAATTCTGTACGTAACTCTGTCAAATCAATTCCTAGCTTTTCTATGCTTTATTCAAATACGTTAGTGTAACCCTAAATACAGAAATGCTTCTAAAGTTTTCATTTCGTCATTGAAAAAAGAATGAGTTCCTTATTGCAGTTGTTTTCATCCTGTATTTAGGTCATCAAGCAGCTGATGAAGAAAGAGTTTACGTTGGAGTTTTCCAGAGACAGGAAGTCCATGTCTGTGTACTGCACTCCTAATAAAGCTCGCTCCTCTGTCGGCAAGATGTTTGTCAAGGTGAGAATCGCACACGCTGAGCTTCACACCTGAGGCGGTGACATTTAATAAATTAATCCAAATATTTATCTTACAACTGCATGCTCCTTTCTCTTCCTCTTATCGGTGTCTGTTTTTAGGGTGCCCCCGAGGGCGTGATTGACAGGTGCACACACATCCGAGTTGGCAGCAACAAGGTGCCCTTGACTCCCGGTATCAAGGAAAAGCTGATGTCTGTTATCAGAGAGTACGGAACCGGCAGAGACACCCTGCGCTGTTTGGCTTTGGCCACCCGAGATAACCCCATGAGCAAAGATGATCTGGTGTTGGAGGACTCCTCTCGCTTTATTGAGTACGAGGTGAGGACTGGGACACATGGATAAGCTCGCTGGGTTCTCCCTGAAGCTTTTGCTGCGTTTTTCGTTGCCTAATGCGCTGTGGCTTTTGATAACTTGTGTTTATTTTATCATTCAGACTGATCTGACATTTGTGGGCTGTGTGGGAATGCTGGATCCTCCCAGGGCAGAGGTGGCGGCCTCCATTAGGCTCTGCCGTCTCGCAGGCATCCGAGTAATTATGATCACTGGAGACAACAAGGGTATGTAGAGAGAAAGAGAGAAAAATAAACTGGCACAGATTATAGTTTCATCAGTGTTCAAGCACAACAGAGAAGATTAGATCACGACTTAAACAGGAACATTACTTGCGTTTAAGGACTCCTGTGGATGTAAACGTTGTGCTCTCGTTTCTATTCCAGGCACGGCGGTGGCTATTTGTAGACGTATTGGCATTTTCGGAGAAGACGACGACGTTTCCACCATGGCTTTCACCGGCAGAGAGTTTGACGATCTGTCACCTGCTGTACAGAGAGACGCGGTGGTCAAGGCCCGCTGCTTCGCTCGCGTCGAGCCGTCACACAAATCCAAGATTGTCGAGTATCTGCAGTCGTATGATGAGATTACAGCTATGGTGAGGAGAAAGTTTACGCCTCGGTCATACATAATAGCATTAAACATTCCATTTTTTTCTGGTACAGATGAGTGTTATTGTGCGTACGGTGGTGTTATCCTCTGCTGTTATCTTCTTTGGGTTTAAGCAGAGAACATCAGATCAAATTGAAGGTGGCTAGTTTATCACAGACTGTGAAACACTGAGTGATTGCTTGTCCTGATTTCACCCTCATGTCAGACTGGTGATGGAGTGAACGACGCCCCCGCTCTCAAAAAGGCTGAGATTGGCATTGCCATGGGTTCAGGCACAGCTGTGGCCAAGACCGCCTCTGAGATGGTGTTGGCTGACGACAACTTTTCCACCATCGTAGCCGCAGTCGAGGAAGGCAGAGCTATTTATAACAACATGAAGCAGTTCATCAGATACCTCATCTCCTCAAATGTGGGCGAAGTTGTCTGGTAAGGATAGCTGGTTTATAGAAACACACACAGATGTGATCACTGCACAGCACACAGTTTTCTGCTTTGTCACACTCATTGTTGTGCTTCCTTTTCGTAGCATCTTCCTGACCGCAGCTCTGGGCTTCCCTGAAGCTCTCATCCCGGTTCAGCTGCTTTGGGTCAACCTGGTGACCGATGGTTTGCCCGCCACCGCTTTAGGCTTCAACCCACCGGACCTGGACATCATGAACAAGCCTCCACGCAACGCTCGTGAGCCCCTCATCTCTGGGTGGCTCTTCTTCAGATACCTAGCCATTGGATGTAAGTGGGGACATAAATATTGTGGAGGGGAATGCATTCTGACTGAGTAGGCGTACATGCTGTGTCTATGTCTATTCATTACACTGTGTTGCAAGGACTTTCAGAACAATGCCCGCTGATATTCTTGTTGTCTGTGCAGGCTGTGTCACGAAGTCACAGCCAAAGCTAGCATAGCATCGCTAATGTTGTGGAAGTAGACATTTTGTGCTTTATCAACAAAAATGTTCATATAACTGCTGCTTCCTTCTACTCAGATGTAAGCCAGCGGGCGTCCGTGTCACCGTCAGCGTGTCTTAATGACGACTCTTTTGTTTGATAACAAGGTTACGTCGGTGCTGCCACTGTGGGTGCTGCTGCTTGGTGGTTTGTTGCTGCTGAGGATGGGCCGAGGATCACCTTCTACCAGCTGGTAGAGCTTAACTACTACTCTCATGCTAATTCAGTTCCTTCACCTCACAAATCAATTGTTTTTTGTTTTTTTTTGCTTAAACCTGTATTTGTACCACCCCTTATAGAGCCACTTCCTGCAATGTGGTCCAGAAAATCCTGACTACGAAAACTTGGACTGTAAGGTGTTTGAGTCTCCTTACCCCATGACCATGGCCCTGTCTGTTCTGGTCACCATCGAGATGTGCAATGCCCTCAACAGGTTAGTTTGAACGAGGCATCAGTTTTTAATAATTGCATTTTCCTGATCTTAATCTCCTCTTTGGTATTCACTCACCAGTGTTGTGCTTTTTGTTTGAAGGTCTCTGAAGTCAGTGTGTGGCTTTTTAACAAGCTTGTCTGTTTGTCTTTGTGGCGTCTCAGTGTGTCAGAGAACCAGTCGCTGCTGCGGATGCCTCCCTGGGAGAATGTGTGGCTGCTGGGAGCCATCTGCCTCTCCATGTCCCTTCACTTCCTCATCCTCTATGTGGAGCCTCTTCCAGTGAGAAAGATTTTTCACTTTGACATAGAATGTGGTGCTCTGAGTCACACGGGGCAAAAGAATGACACTAAATCAGCATTGTTATGATATTAAAATGATTCATTCTGCTGTCGTATCTACGGCACCAAAGAGCTGATGCTGTTGGAACATCACCTGAGCTGCAGCCTGATCAGTCTTGTGTGTTTCTTTCCAGATCATCTTCCAGATCACCCCTCTGAATCTGACACAGTGGTTAATGGTGCTCAAGATCTCACTACCCGTCATTCTACTGGACGAAATGCTGAAGTTTGCTGCCAGGAACTACCTGGAGCCTGGTAAAGAATTGGAGAAGCCTGCCGGCTCCAAAAGCTGCTCCCTGTCTGCATGTTTGGAGGGCATCTCCTGGCCCTTCGTGGCCATTTCCCTCCCCTTGGTCCTCTGGATCTACAGCACCGACACTAACATGGCCGACATGTTCATGTCCTGACTGACTTGAGCACAACCTCGACTTTTCCATTCCCCACCCACTGCCATCACTTCCCTCTTTCCTCTCCTCCTCCTCCCTCTTCTCTCTCTGCCTTCCTAAATGTGCATAGTTAGCGTGTGTGCGCGCGTTTGTAGAGTTAGTGTGTGTGCCTGTGCGTGCCGACCGCGTGCGTACGAGAAGGACCAACTTTAACACATGAAACGTAACGAATACTATCAAAAAATGTTAACATTAAGAAGTCACCTGTTTTAAGTTGGGCTAGGATTTGTGAATGGGTGAGGAATTCAACGTGAGTGTCAGAAGACCATCACTCCCATAGCTGTGGACTTGCTGGTTGCTGGTTTGAAAGAAAAATATACTGTTGCCATGTTTCCTTTGTTAATATTTGCCTTTAAGGTTCATATTTTTAACGATGTTTGGAATATAATTTCTATGTCACTACAGTAATAACAGCAGCGTTGTTTTGTTTAACTTCCCTCGTAATGAAAAGGAAATTTAAGATATCAGAAATGATTTGATCTGTACAGAGATTCAACACTATTTTATGCAACTTTATTATTTTTTTTCTTTTCTTTTTTTTTTAAAAATGGCTTTGTAAATTGTTTGACCAGCGTGGCTTAGACATATACCGCCTTGATTTATTTTCAAATGTTTACCATTGTGTCTTCAGTATAAACTCAGAACTCTTGCAGAGAGGACAAGCTCCATGTGGCAGACGAGGACGGGGGGAAAGGTTTGGGACTCGGAGTGAAACGTTTGAATGCTCAGCTTAAACAAAACAAGAGAGAGAAAAGAAAAAAAAATATTCCTGATAAAACAACAGCCGCATGTCCTGTGACCAAGCATGAACTGTACGTGGTTTCTCATTTCTAATTTAATTGTGTATGTCCCCCATGTTAGAGCGTAAATTAACTACATGGATGTTTTTCTTTTTTTTTTTTTTTATTGATTGAAAACAAGTCAGTTTTTCTGCACTGGGCAGAGCACAGCTACCTCAATACGATAAAAGAAATTTTTGTTTTGCTCATCTCTAGATGCTTTTCCTCGACGGTCTTGCTAAAGCGTAACATCTGAGGTGTGCCCCTATTCGCTTGTGCAGAAAACAAAGAACAAAATCTTCCTTCCCGCTTAACATTTTTAAGGATATATTTTGTTTGTATTGATTTGTGACATTCATTAACTTTATTTGTGGTGGTTTTTTTTTTGCTCTGGAGACAGAACTGGGTGGGGATGCTGTACCATCTCCATGGCGTTTGATTCAAAGGACAGTAACATCAAAATCTTAAAGAGAGAGAGAGAAAAAAAAAGAAATACTAATCCACCAAGTACTTCAAATGAACTTGGATTGCAAATAAACAACCCAAAATGTTTTTTTTACTTCAAGGAAAATACACTCATAAACCCTTTGAATCAAGTGTTTTCTGTCTTTATTTAATACGATGGAGGCCCGTGGTTATTCTTCATATCCAGTGTTTTTTTTTGTATGTTCATATAATACTTGAATACAGATCATTTCAGACATATGAATGCTTTGGTTTTCTTGGCACAACATGGCAGGCAGGAGATACTCACGACACACACACATACACAGCCTGACCTTGTGTACATTCGACTCTTCCGGGCTTTAACACTCAGAGGGTTTGTGGCGGCGTAACATTCGTCGGATCAGAGCCAGTCGACTGCACTAATCTGAAGCATCTATATTTTTTTGAATGGAAATTTTTGTGTGAAAACCTCCCTCCTCCTCCCCCAGCCCCCCCGTCTGAAGCATGTTTTTTGGGTAGAAGCCTGGGTTTGTTCGCACTGTGTGTTTGTGTTCCACGTAACAACTGTGTGCTTTTCTTCCCCAATGCCTTCCATTGGCCCCCCTGTCACTAGAGTGAGTATCCATTCGTTTTATTTACAACATGCTGCTTTACTACAGATTTAATTTGGTTAATCAAAACCAGAAAAGAAAACTAGTTCTCAGAGACATTCCCTGAAATAGAGATGTGATTATTTTATGCTGTTAAAGTTAAAAAACATTGTAAGAAATGATGCTCTCTAGGATTTACTGAAAGTGAACATGGGCTGTATAGATCAGCGGTTCTCAAAGTTTTTGAGCCACGACCCCCAAGATAACATAAGTCTGTTCCTGACTCCCCCAATTCGATTTTTTCAGTATTAAATTTGTTATTCATGCATTAATGCGTTAGAATTTAATGTGTTAATTCCACAGATTGATCTTGTTACATTAACACGTTAATCACGTTAATTTTCTTTTGAATTAATTGAATTTATTTCCAACAAATGAAAGGAAAAAAAATATAAAAGCAAAAAAAAATAATTTGAAAAAGAGCAAAAAAGCAATAATAATATTAATAAGTCTGACAAAGGAGTGGGAACACATATACAACTTTAATTTTGACAGCCCAACTAAATGTAGGCTTTATTTATTTTTACAATAATCTGGCGACCCCCTGAAATTATCTTAGGACCCCCATAAGGGTCCCGACCCCCAGTTTGGGAACCACTGGTATAGAGAAAACTCCACATGCCACTATTGTGAACGTCACTGTGTGCTGATCTTTTCACCCCTTTGACACAAGCTTAAATTCACTACTTTTATAATAGAAAGATGTACAATATATAAAACTATACCTTGCAGTCTTTAAGTGTTTTGTCCTGACGTTGTTTTCCTCTCCCCCTCTTTCAGGTTGGCTCTCATAAAACCTTCGTATAATTTTAAGAGTGGCCTCAAAAGTTGGAGACGTCCCAACTTGGCCGCTCGCTCCGACTTCACACACCTCAGACACCATGATGACCAGCAGTACGTACCCTTGCACAGGCATAAAGGACATCACAGTAACAGCACCAAATACCGAAAGGGTATACAAAAAAAAAAAAAGAGGGGTTGGGCCTTAGACTGGTTCCTTTGTGCCCGTGACGACACATGACCACACACACACACACACACACACACTTATACCTCCGTGTGAAGATGCTAAATCAGTACGACACTACTATTCCAGTTTTTGTGTGCAGGGAAGTTCTCAACGCCCTCGACGATCCCTCTTGCATGAAGAACTTACTTCCATGGTAGCTTGTCACCTAGAGAATCTTTAAAAACACTGGGTCGAATGGTCTTAGATGTACATCAGTGTACAAAAAAACATCCATGCATGCGTTTCAGCTGTACGTAGGCTTTGCAATTTGTATTTATAGATTCTAATGTATAATACTCAAATGACATATTAAGATGGTTTTAAGATGGATATATCATAGATATTGGGAAATCACTGTTTTTATTGTAATGGTTTTGGGTAATTTGCACAACGTTAGACATGGAGCAGTGACTCATGCTGAACTGACTGTGCTCCACTTGAGTTTTTTTCTTTTTTTTTTTTTAAACTTAGATTTTCTTTTCCCCCCCATTAGTTGAACTACTGTAGGCTGTTCACTGATCCATTTAATTTCATGAATTAATCCTTTGCAATGAGTACAACAGGCTGACACTGATTCATTGGTAATCCTGCAATACAACAGTGCTCTGTTTCTTATTGCCTCTGCATTATTATTCTGATTATTATTATTCTTCTGTATCTTTATCAACTGCTGTAAAACTGTGATCTAATGTGAGGCGGCCCGTAGAGTCTCCTCAGCGACGACACCTGGTCGAAGAACAATATTAACCATTATGTAAAAAAAAAAACAACAAGACGATCATTATTGAGGAGTAATAATGATTGTACATGCATTACTGAGGTTGTGGTTTCAGGTAAATAAAATAATATAGTATTTGAATTGTGTCCTTTTCCTTTTTTTCATTGTGTTGATGTAAAAAGTGACGTCAGATGAGAATTATTGTGTTTAATTCCCAGTGCAGAGAAAAGTCGATGGATCTGACTCGATTGGTGGAATTTATAATAAAAAAAAGAGGGTACAGTATTGAAGTAGAGGCGTGGATCGACCTCCAGGTGCAACAGACTGTTCCATCTCTGCATGTCTGTATTTCCTTCAAGATATAAAAAAATAAAGGAGGGAATGCCACACAAAGAGTCTGAATAAGAGTTTGGAAGTAAGACGTAAAGAATGAACCTCTTAAGACCCGAGCTCTTGTTTGATATGCATTTTTTTTATTATAAAAAATAGAAAGAAAATACAAAAAAATATATATAAAATGTTTTAAAAATAGTCATAAAAACAAAATAAAATTGAAAAAAATGACTACTGTGGTAACATAACCCAAAATGTGACACCAGGTCTTAAGAGGTTAAACTAATAATGCTCTAAACTAAGATCTTGAGGTAAATTATTTACTTTTTCCACAAAATGTGTCTGGAATAAAGACCAAACGCCAAAAAAGTGCATTTATTTCTGTACCCTCTTACTCCACTGGGTGGCAGTGTTTGGTTAAAGATGCCAGCAACACTTTTACAAGCTCACCTGCTCGTCAGGTAGGAACTTAAGAGCAGTGACATCATGAAATTATCTTTATTAGTGGTCAATAATCATAAAAATAAATACACATCCTAGTGGGAATACTGGGAGTAATAGTTTCTGGATACATTTGGAGACAGAGATTGGAGTCTCCATCGTGCGCCAATTATGCGTCACAAGCCCTTCTTGGATCATAGTGAGGCTTGCGCAAAAGTTTGATTTTTTTTTTTAACCCTCCAGAAAATAAAAGTAACAATCAGGTGAAGGGGAGACTTGCATCCATGCTCTGTCTCTTTAACCAGCAGGCTCCCTGTCACTGTGGTCCCTCCCATTCTTGCAGCCCTCCAGTGTTGCTGGCCTGAGATGGGAGCGCACACAGCAGCACCATCACGGCCGAAGAAACGGGATAAATCTGGAAGGAAACGCTGAAAAAAAAAAACAACCAACAACATCTTGAGGAAGAGAAAAAAAAATGGGATAACGAAACAATTACATTTACTTCACACCGGATCCCGCCGCTCGATCCCGTCCTCCGAGAAACTCAGATGTTGTCGTCGCCTGCGTTTTGCGCTTTTTTATCCATTCTCCTTGAGCGCAGCTGGTACAAAGGCGCTTGGTCCGGAGCAGCAGCAGCAGCAGCAGCAGCACCTGGGATTACAGCCACATGAATGGACCAGAGTGACCAGAGCCTGAGGATGGTGGACACAGACAGTGAGTAAACCAGAGCTGGATTAAAACACTTTTTTTTTTTTTCCCCTTTCTCCTTTCTCTGTGGGAAGCAGACCACCCGTGTTCCCCCCACCAAGACCTACTGTCATTGTGTCGAGGATGATTTTTTAAAAACCTTATTCTTAAAGTGGCCTTTTCTGGAATAATGCACGAGCAACACGAGCTCTGTCACAGCTTTTTATTCCTTTTTATGTCTCACACATTCCCCGGGTTTCCTCTGACTGAACAGCCAGTTTCTCTTGTTCAGAATGGGATGTATTGTTGCGACTGCGCAACCCACGACAAGTGTCAGCAATTAGACTGTGTGTGTGTGAACGGGTTACCTCAAGGCCTGGTCTAAACACTGCCACTGCTTTCTAACTGGATTTGGCCATTGTTGCCCAGAAGGATTCTGTGGGAAACTGGACTCAATTTTTTTTTGTTTTAAAAAGGGGGCCAAACTGTGCACTCTTGGCATCGTTCCCCCCTGTGTGTGTGAACCAGGGCCGGTCACAGAAATAAATTAGGCACAATATGGTGGAGCCGGTGGGATTCATTGAAGCGTGGAAGGCACAGTTCCCTGAGTCAGAACCCCCCAAGATGGAGCTGCGATCGGTCGGGGGCATCGAGCAGGAGCTGGAGAAGTGCAAAGCATCCATTAGACGCCTGGAGCAGGAGGTGAACAAGGAGCGCTTCCGCATGATCTACCTGCAGACCCTCCTGGCCAAAGAGAGGAAGAGCTACGACAAACAGCGGTGGGGCTTCAGGAAGACGCCGCTCAACGAGGGGATGGACCCCGCGGCCACACAAGGTGCAGAGTCCCAATCCCAGCAGCCCCACATGCAGGAGACTGGTGGAGTTGGTGTTGTAGTAGGTGGCAGTGGAGGATATGGCGGTGTGAGTGGGGTTCCTGGGGATAGGAGCCGCTTCCAGCCTCTTGGAGATGGAACTGGCAGGACCAAACCCAGGCCTCCGCCAGCCAGAAAGTCAGCCTCCCACGGCGACGGCCTGGAGTCGGCCTTTGAGGTTCCCCAGCAAGCAGAGTCAACATCCTGTGACAACCTGGACGGCCTCTCGCCATCAAAGCAGAGAGGAGGTGTCACCGTGTCGCCCCGCAGGCCCACCCTCCCACCCCCAGACAAGGACCTGCCGTCTGACCCCAAGGACAAGCTGGGGATGGGACTCGGCGTGGCAGCTCTTAGATCCAACTTTGAGAGGATCAAACGGGCCAATTCTCACTCCGCGGGTGATGTAGCGAAGGGCCAGGAGAAGCAGCCGCTGCCGCCGCCACCACCCTTCTACACCAACATGGAATTCCACCACGAGAGGGGTTTGGTCAGGGTCAACGACCGCGACGTCTCCGACAAGATCAGCTCCCTGGGCAGCCAGGCCATGCAGATGGAGAGGAAGAGGTCTCTACACTCCCTCCCAGGTAATCTGGCGACGGTGGCAGGGGAGCTCCGTGCCAGGCCGGTGTATCGAGGACGATCCACTGAGAGCACCTGCGGCTATGATGCAGAATACGAAGATGGGGAGCCCAACCAGCGGCATTCAGGAAGAGCCAACGGGGGCAAACCTCCACCCCCTCCGTGGCAGCCCTCCGAGTTCCAGGCCTACTCCAGTGTCTATGTCGGCGGGGTGATGATGGGTGAAGGTGGCAGTGGAGATGGAAGAGGGGGTGGTGGAAGTGGGAGTGGCGTCACCATGAGGGACCACGGTGGAGGTGACGACCACCTCCTGACCTGGCCACGCCGCTCCTACTCCCCAGGCAGCTTCGAGGACGTGGGCGGAGGCGGCGGCTACACGCCAGACTGCAGCTCCAACGAGAACCTGACGTCCAGCGAGGAGGACTTTTCCTCGGGCCAGTCCAGCCACGTGTCGCCCAGCCCCACCACGGCCTTCCGTCGGCCCTTCAGAGAGAAGAGCCGCTCGCCGTCCCAGAACTCCCAGAACTCCCAGCACTCCTTCGACAGCAGCAGCCCTCCGACGCCGCAGTCCCAGAAGCGCCACCACCGGCAGCAGGGAGGCCATGTGGTCATGTCCGAGGCCACTATTGTGAGTGTTCGCAAGACTGGCCAAATCTGGCCACCTGCTGCCCATCATGACCTCCTGCCCCACGGTAGACCGTCCCATGACAACAGTTTCCATGGAGACCACTTAGGTGAGTGTTGGCTGCAGTCTCTAATCTGTGTTGTGGTGGAGGGCAGGTGGGCTGCGGTGCAAAGAAGACGCACAGAAACCGAGCCGGCCTGCTCGTGTGTGTGTGTGTGTGGAGGAAGGAAAAAGAAAAATGAATGAGAGCCTGAGTGAATGAGTGTAATTTAGTCATGCTGGAATTATGTTGGCATTTGTTTCTTTTGCATTTTCAGACCCTTCTTCACATAATTTGTCTTCCCTCTTAAAACCACAAAGCAGCCAAATGCTTGGAGTGATTGATACTGTGAGCACGCATTGTGTGTGTGTGTGTGTGCATGTGAGCGCTGTGTGTCCTTTGGATGGCCTTGCGTGGGAGACAGATGAAAGATCCACCTCTGCTTATTCCTGGAATGTCAGTCGGGTGGGTGAACAATAAATGTGGTCAGCCTGGGTTGAAACTACAGGTCTAGGCTTTCTCAGACGACTCCTGCGGCTCTTGGTATGGAATTCAAATCACAGGTGTCTGTCTTCCTGCTGGCCTGTCTCTCTCTCTCTCTCTGTCTTTCTGAACAATGACAGCAGAAAACTCTTCCCTGAGCCACAAGCCGAAACTTTTCACCAGCTGTTAGCGCGGAGCAGAACAAAGGAAATCCACTCTCATCCCTCCAAACAATTGCGAGCAGTTCGCCTAACCGCTCAATAGCAGCCTTTTAGAGCCACGGCACCTGTAGCAGAGCGACAGATAAGATGAGCAGCCTCGGGGATGAAGTCGTGAGCGCTGGTTGACCAGGCTTTGAGAATTAGGAGTTGACTGTAATTGCTCAGTAAAATTTCCATCGTGGAGCCTTGTGCCAGGTCACAAGAAGCAAAACCAAACACCGCTCGGGTAGTTCAAATATTTGATATCATTTTTTAGACATGGAGGGTTGTTTACCGAGGCGCGGTTTGCAGCAGTCGCACACATTTTGGTGTGTTGTCTGTCGATGTTTTTTTTTTTTTCTTCTCTGCTGTGGAGTGTTTTAGCGCCCGCTGTATTGTAACAGATTTGGGACTGGTGCCCTGCTTGACCAGACAGGCAGCAGGGTGCTGGCATCACGGGCCCGCGATGGTGCCAGGATGAACTGGAAAGAGGGGAGGATAGATAGTAAACGGGAGAGAAGTATGGATAGTACTAGAGAAGAGGTGGAGTCTATGAAAACATAAAGGGAGAGAGAGAAAGTCTACCTGCACAATAACGCCACCGCTAATGCAACAGGAGTGCCTTATATTATTAATGTTCTGCTCTGTGCGGTTCATTTCTGAACACATAACTGTCATTTGCGGTTGCAGCCCGGTTTGCAACCCGATCCGGCTCATTGCCTAAATATCCTGAACGGTGAACAGGTCTCTGTCCATCTATAATTCATTCATTTGAATAGAACCACTGACACCGTGGCCCTGGAAGAATCAGCTAAACTGCTTTTCCAGGCATCCGGTTTGGGAAACACTGTGAAAGCAGAAGACCTCTTCCCTTTTAATTACCTTTCCCTCCCCTGATGGAAAGCCATCGCTGCTAAATTATTAGCTCCAACAACTAGTGAGGTTGTATGCAGTTTGCAGCAAACCCGGATAGCGAGTCCCCAGCAAATGGCCAGCTAATTCTCCAGCTGCTATGTTTAGGATTATCACTGCACTGTCTGCCCTCTTTTGTTTTATCATCTTTTCCACAACAATGAGCCCTGTGGGAAGTTAGGCGAGCCGGAAGAGCAGGGCTGGAGATGGAGGATGGGGGGTATGATGCTGCAGACAGCGATGCATTTAGCGGGATAATCTGGAATTTGAAGCATAAGAAGTGAAATGTTGATTGGACACCCTGCAGAGTGGTCTTGTTTTCTGCTCGGGGTTTAAGCTGAGGGCAGACAGACATGATGTTGACACTGAAGCGGAGGATAACAATGAACGTCATTTTTGCACCCCGGCGTTGTGTATGTGTTTTGTTTTTTTTTCACCAACCAGAATAGAGAGAGAGAGAGAGGATAGTAAAAGGGGAGAGGAGTGGAGAGAGTGTTTTCGGTGGGCGGCGGATGATAATAATGAAGAGTGGGTCGGTGTTGTGAGGAAGACTGAGGGAGGCAGAGTGCAAGGCAGAGCTGTCGTTTCTCGCTTCATTGGTCAGGGATGCGGGGGCTGCAAAGAGGCACAGATGGGAAGAACTCTCCCGTTGTGTAACAGAAACACACAGTCAGGCTCGCACACACACACAAAGACACACACACACACATGCTTGATGTTTACTCTTATACCTTCAGGCTGCTTCGCCTTCAGCAGTAGGTGTACAGTATGTGTTCCTGCGTCGTGGCCCGAGATCGTTTTCAGACCGGGTCACAGAAGAAGAGCCGGTGGTAGGAAACAGCCGGGCATTGTTGGTCCTTCTCTTCTCTTCTCTTCTCTTCTCTTCTCTTCTCTTCTCTTCTCTTCTCGTCTAATGACACCCGTAATTGCTTCATGGTGTGGTTTGTTTATTTAAGGGGCATTTTCAGGATGAAAAGCGCTCCACGCCGGGCGGAGATGAGTCGTTCTTTTGTGGTTATGACACAAAAAACCAAATAACAAAATGGAGTGAAAGAATAAAATAAAAATATCTCCCTCGAGTGTTGTTCAGTGAGAAACGTGGGGACGCCTGGCGAGCAAAAGCTTTAAATGTTTGGAGTCAAAATCTTTCGGTTGCCAACTTTTCATTTTTGAACTGAATTGAACAAACATGAGGTCGAGTGTTTGATCGCTCAGATAATTGAATAGTCTTCTTTTACATGACCGTGACTCTATTTTCTGACCTTCCTGCAACAGCAAAAGAAATTGTCATGAATTTGGGATGCAAAAATTAGCTTAAAATGGCCAAAGGTTATTAAAAAATGAGTAAAACCAGGAAAATAACACACCGGCAGTAAAGAAAGGTAGAAGTAATACGAGGTTTGTGCACTAGCAGGCCTGGCAACTGGCTTTTTTTTCAGGGTTCACCAACCAAACCCCACACATATCGCTCACCCGGAGTTTAAGTGAGGTCAGTTTGTCGGAAGAAAGGGAGCTTTCACTGCCTCCTGTAATGAAATGTGTGGTGACCGAAAATGGCAGGTCTCTCCATATGTTCTTTCCATTGATTCATTTGAAGGCAGCTCTGCCTCTAAAGCAGTGAATACCTGTGGGTTTGTGTCTCTGACGACGGGGATACCAAAGCGGGACGGGCCTGAGAAAGCTTCAATGGCTGTATTGTCCGCGGCCTCCAGCTCCCGCCGCTGAGCTCTGTCAGGTAACAACCCTTTTTGCTCCGGGTTGTTTATCAAGCCTTTTTTTTTTAAACACGGAGTATGTTTTTGCATCCAGAAGCTCACCACTCCAGCACCTATGGCTAACTTAGAATAAACATTTAACCTACTACACATGTTTCTGGATGTGGAACGCAGCCAACTGCCAGATTTGAACCCACAAGGCGACACTTCCAACCGCCGCGTCGCTGCCGAGCCACCGACAAAATCAATCTTGAGATACTATTAAAAAAAAATAAAAAACTGCATGAAATATGAATTTGCGGCAAACTTGCTGCAAACAGTTGGTCGAGCGTCTTTCCCCAGTTGTGGCAAACTGCTCATTATAGCCAGACTGTTGTTTTAAGCTGGTAAAGTTATGGCAACATTTTCTGGAAAGGTAATTATCTCGCTGCAAATCATCCACAAGTTTGCTGCAAATCTGCTGCAGACGTTTTTTGCTTCTGGAAAAAAAATCTAGTGGTCCCAGTGACCAGGTCCTGTGGGCTTTGTGTGCAGGCTCCCGTGACATTTACTGACGTCAAGCATAAAGCAGTAATTCTGAAATCATTGATTTTTTGCAAGCGAGGCAAACGGTGTGTCAACAGTGGGTCTGCGTTTGATGCTCGCTCCAGTCCAGGGGTGTTCAGAATGATTAAATTCACTGTCAATTAAATAGAAATATAAACTTCTCTAGTCCAGAAGTAAGAAAGCCCTCAGAAAAAAGTCAAAACTGGTTTGCTGAGTGTGGCGAGCCGCTGTCCTGGCAGGATGATGTCCTAACACCTGTGCTGAATGTGGTTGTACTAAATTTAAATCATTTTTGCCTCACAAACTATATTTTATGTAGTGATGTTAAGAAGTGTCACGTGTAATTGTTGTACGACAAACATAACTGGCATGTGTTAGCTCACGTTAGCTTTCTAAAATAAGATATTTTTACAGTTAAGAGTTGAAAAAATGATACGACGTGAATATCACAAGATAAATGTTGTTTAATAATAATATAAACTACATTTCGAAAGTACATTATAGCTCATATTACAAAACATGGTACCAAATACTTTTTGCTAACGATTTAATACGGTTAGCGAGGTTAGCATAAGCTGGTATTTTCTACTCATTCTATGCTGCATGACATATTTTTCCAATAAAATCGTATTTACATTTAAAAAGGATTTGGGGTTATGGTTGTTTCTTTTGTAATGCATTTTTAAATTACCTTAAATCCTAAAATCTTAAGTTATAATCGTGCAGCCTGATTTAACAACTGACAAACTAAACTTCAGAAGAACTTTACTCCACACAACTTTTTTATAGTTGTATATTTACAAGGCTGGTGCGGTCCAGTCTTGGTTTACATTGGAATATCTGTGTAAAAAAAACAACTGTAGAAGTGTAAAAACACTTTCACTTTTTCGCCATAGTTTTAACCGTCATGGTGGGAAGAGACAAACCGGTCGCCAGGGACACGGCTTGGAACCATCAGAGTCGTCCTGTGTGTGTGTTTCTGGGTAATTTTCTGAATTTATGATGTGAAACACAAACTCACATTCTCTTCCTAGGAAATCAGAGTTATGTGTTTGTGCTGTGTGACTATCTCGAGGGTTTTCCTCTCCGAACGTAAATCCTGTAAGAAGCAAGCGGAGATAACGCCGCGAGAGACGCCGCATCGTCCTCCTCCTCCCCGAGCCTTTGTGGGCCCTCGCGTCATGTGATTCAGCATGTATTTCCACGTGTGCTG